GAGCATCCAAACTGCCTAGGCTCCCACAAAGCCAATACGTGCAGTAGGAACAAAAACCCATTGCCATTGTTCTTGAGTTCTCAGTAGTCCTCATTGTCCGCTATGTTCAGCGAGTCCGGTTTTATCCCCAGCGAGTCCGGTTTTATCCCGGGCTTTTTCAGACCCAGGCCAGCTGGCCTTGGTGAGTTCCCGATAGAACATCCCCATTGTCTCAGTGTGTGGGTGCACCCCTCGCGGTACTGAGTTCCTTGCTCATGCTCTCTCTCCTTCTGCTCCTGATTTGGACCTTGCGATTTCTGTCCGGTGCTCCAATGTGGGTCTCTGTCTCTGTCTCCTTTCATTGCCTGATGAAGGTTAATATTCAGGAGGATGCCTATATGTTTTTCTTTGGGTTCTCCTTCTTATTTAGCTTCTCTAAGATCACGAGTTATAGGCTCAATGTCCTTTATTTATGGCTAGAAACCAAATATGAGTGAGTACATCCCATGTTCCTCTTTTTGGGTCTGGCTTACCTCACTCAGGATAGTGTTTTCTATTTCCATCCATTTGCCTGCAAACTTCAAGAAGTCGTTTTTTACTGCTGAGTAAAAGAGTGTTTTGTCTGCATGTTTGTTTGTGCACTTTCCATATGTGTGCAGGGGCCACAAAGACCAAACAGGGGTGTCAGATCCCTTGGGACTGGAGTTACAGATGATTGTAACTGCCGTGAGTATGTTGGGAAACAAACCTGAAGCCTTTGCAAGAGCAGCCAGTTCTCTTAACTGCTGAGCCATCTCTCTGATTCCTTTAGCATTTATCTGAGTAATTTAGCTGTATCCACTTCCTTTTGATTACTGCACAAAATAGAACATTCCCATCCTCTCTGCCTTTTCTTGTTCTCATGCCTTAAACGTGTCTTCTTACAGGGTGACCTAACTGTCATCTATGTCAAGACATTTCAATAAGAGGAGAGGACCAAGGTGATTTCCTGTGACAGCCCAGAAGATATAAACAAGGTATGCTCCAAGAACATTGGGAAATACTAACAACCCTTTTAAAACATAGCATGGATTTGATATTTCTCTTTTATTTTTAACTTATTTTATTAACATTTTAATTAATGCAGAGTAGTTATGTGTATTTATAGAGTATAGATAGCTCTTTAAAACCATGTATGCAATAGGTAATCATCAGGTCAGTCTTTAACATATCCACTATCTCAAACATAACATTATTTCTTTTTTTTTATTTTTTATTGAAAAAAAATTTCCGCCTCCTCCCAGCCTCCCATTTCCCTCTGCTTCCTCCCACTCCTCTCCCCCTCCCCCCACTCCTCTCCCCCTCCCTCTCCAGTCTGAAGAGCAGTCAGGGTTCCCTGCCCTGTAGAACGAAAGCTTGGCTGGGTGTTGTAGTCTGGGCTTGCATCCATGGTCTCTTAGTTTCTGCAGTACCTCTATTCAGGACCGTCTGGCTTTCATAGTTTCCATAGAGAAGTCAGGTGTAAGTCTGATAGGTTTACCTTTATAAGTAACTTGGCCTTTTTCCTTTGCAGCTCTTAATATTCTTTCTTTATTCTGTGTGCTTTGTGTTTTGATTATTATATGGCAAGGGGATTTTTTTTTTGATCCAGCCTATTCCGTGTTCTGTATGCTTCTTGAACCTTCATAGGTACATCTTTCTTTAGGTTGGGAACGTTTTCTTCTATAGTTTTATTAAATATATTTTCTGGACCGTTGAGTTATACTTCTTCTCCTTCTTCTACTCCTATTATTCTTAGGTTTGATCTTTTTATTGTGTCCCAGATTTCCTGAATGTTTTGTGATGTGAGTTTGTTGGACTTGCTGTTTTCTTTGATCAGTGCGTTTATTTTCTCTATGGTATCTTCAGAATTTGAGATTCTTTCTTCTATCTCTTGTATTCTGTTGGTTATGCTTGTTTCTGTAGTCTCTATTCATTTACCTAGATTTTCCATGTCCAGCCGGCCCTCTGTTTGTTTTCTTCTTTGCCTCCATTTCAGTTTTCAAGTCTTGAACTTTTTCCATTATCTGTTTGATTGTTTTTCCTTGGTTTTCTGGGGTATCATTCACTGATTTATTCAATTCTTCAAACTTTCTGTTATACTTCTCATCCATTTCTATAAGGGCATTTTTTACATGCTGTTTAAGGGCGTCAATCACTTTCATAAAGTCAATTTTTTTCTACTTCTTCTTGATTAAGGTGTTCATGTCCTCCTGTTGTGAGGTTGCTGGGTTCTGGTGGTTTCATGTTGTTTTTCAGATTGTTGGGTGAATTCTTGCATTGGCGCCTGCCCATCTCTTCCTCCGAATGCTTCCCTATGGATCTTCTTTTACAGGATCAGGTCTCCTTGCCCACTGATGTACCTTCCCAGTGATGGCTTTCCTGGTGCCGAGATCAGATCTCCGTGCTGGTTGGGTAGCACGTAAACAAAGCACTTACCTTGCTTGCTGCAGGCAGGCTATTGAAATAAAGGAACTCCTGCCTGGTTGCCCTCATGATTCGGCCCCAGCGCTCAGACAGGCTGAGCTGGGTGATGTTATGTGACCGAAGAGGGGAGGGAGGCAGTAGGGGGGAGGGTTCTGGATGCACACTGGGTGGAATAGGGAGAGGCAGTATGCAGGGAGTAGAGGCTCTGCAGGAAGACCAGGAAGTATAGGGGGGATGAGGAAAGTCTGTGTCCCGGGCTCAACATTATTTCTTAGCCTTGGGAATATTCAAAGTGCTATTGGCTACTTAATCTATTGATTGTTGTCCACCACAGTTTCTCTGCTGTGCTACAGAGCATCAGATGGTATTATTCTCCAATCCAGCTGCACCCCTCTCCCTATTAACTATCATCTCCCCACCTCTGGCTTGTTAAGGCTCTGGGAAGCCACTACTTATTTCTTTGAGATCAACTTTATCTTCCACACAAATGAGAACACAACACAGGGTATTTGTCTTTGTGGATATGACTTATTTCACTCAGCAGAGTGCCCAACTCTTCTATCCATGTTTCTTTTTATTTCCTTTTTTTTTTTTTTTTTTTAGTTTTTCAAGACAGAGTTCCTCTGTAGCTTTGGATCCTGTCCTTGAACTAACTCTGTAGATCAGTCTTGCCTCAAACTCACAGAGATCTGCCTGCCTCTGCCTGCCGAGTGCTGGGATTAAAGGCGTGTGCCAACACCACCCAGAATTTTGTCCATGTTTCTACAAATGACAAAATGTTGGTCTTTAATGTCTGAATGGTATTATACTGTACATATATAGATGGAAGAGAGATAGGTGATAGATAAATTATAGACAGATGATAGGAGATAGATACATAAATTATAGACGATAGGTAGACAGATTAATTATAGATGATATATAGATAGGCGATAGTTGATATATAGATTGGTGATTGATAGATGAATAGATGATAATAGGTGATTGATAGATACGTTATAGATACAAAGAGATGATTATAGGTAGGTAGGTGATGGATAGATAGATCGATAGGTCATGGATAGATAGATGATAGATAGATAGATAGATAGATAGATAGATAGATAGATAGATACATAAATAGATGATAGATAGATAGATAGAATGATGGATAGGTGATGAATAGAGAGATAGATAGATAGATAGATAGATAGATAGATAGAATAATAGATAGGTGATGGATAGGTAGATAGATAGATAGATAGATAGATAGATGATGGATAAATAGACAGATGATAGATACATAGGCAGATCACTTGTGTCACAGTGGCCAAATAGCTGATAGAAACAACTTAAAGGAAGAAAGGTTTGTTTTGGTCAAGGGTTGAGACCTTCTAGTCCACTCTGGTGGGAAGGGCATGGTGAAACACGTGGCATTGGCTAACCAAGTTGCTTTAGATCTGTAGCAGATGACACCTAGAACTAGGGGTCCGGCTACAACCTTCAAGTATTTGACCCTAGTGGCTTCCTTGCACCAGCTGAACCCCAGCTCTGAAGGTTCCTCAGTCCTCAGAAAGAGCACGGCTCTATAAGTTTTGACAATGAATTTGAGCTCACTTTTCAAGTTATGGTTACTGAATTCGCTTTGGCTGTGTGTCTTCTTCCTTAGATTTTTTTTTTTCTGAATTGAACTGATTTCCCTTTAGTAAACACTTATACACCCATTGAAGTAACTGTAAATCTGTAGTAGGCAGGGTAGCTCCAAAGCCTCCACCTTGCATGCTTTCTCAGTCATAGGAAGCGCTGAAAAATATAGGTGCCTTCCTCTCCAAATAGCATATGTACACACACACAGACACAAGCACACACACACACAGCACACACCCTTGGAGGCCAGAGAGGTCGTTGGATCCCCTGGAGCTAGAATTCCAGGTGGTTGTGAGCCACCTGGCACGGATGCTGGGAACTGAACTTAGTCCTTTGTAAACGTAGCATGTGCTCTTACCATTGGGCCATGTCTGCCACCCCACCGTCTTCTTTCTCTCCTCCATAATTTGACAGTACCCTTGTTTCTTAGAAGAATCCATATTTGAAATTCTTGTACAGGCTTGTCATTTTGATTGATCTGTGTTTGCATCACAGGCGGTCTCCCTGAGCTCTTTTGTCAATTCCATCAGATCAGGCATCTTGCTTCTGTGCCCACTTAGTTCCCGACTGGCAATGTACATCTTTATTCTACCCTGGTTCTTCACACAGCGCGTGCAGGCTGGCTGTGCTCTCCATTCTCCTTTGGCTGGGCTTCAGCATCCTTCCGTGCCCCTGGGGTCCTAAGACTTAATTACAGTGTGTTTAACCACGAGTTCCTGCCATTGTGCTTGAGAGAAGCTTTGGGTTTCCGATATTGATTTATGGTTTTTAATTTTGAGAAAAAAAGATTGTTTATTGCCTTTTCTGTTTCTCTTTCAAACTTCTGCTTAGGCCCATGCCACCGTTCACCTACCAAATCTTATTCCTGCATTACGTGCTAGCTGCACATTCCAGCTAGCTAACTCTCTGGATTGAATATTTGTCTAACTTCCCTTCTAGGATTTGTATTTCAAGCAATCTTTTACCCCTTTTTATACTTAGAAGTTAACCCTCTGGGCTGTGAGCTGTTGTCATCTCGTAGTGCCTTGCTTCTCAGACCACAATGCTGGTTTGCCATTGGTCTTTGAGAATCTTGCATCCTCTGTTTGCAGAATGTTTCCACAGAAAAAGAGACTGCAGCATTACCAACCCAGAACCTCCCTAGTGTTTCAGAGGGGTTAGGCTTAGAGTCTGCTCCTTCCTCTATCCCAAGGCAGTGTCCTGAGTACTGCTCACACCCTCCCTGGCCCTCGCCTGCTGCACTGCTCTGTCTTCATGTTGCTAGCTGTCTCTGCCCCTTGTGGGGTGTTCCACAGTCCAGCCCTGGCTGCCTAGCCTTCTGGTAAGGGCACCAAAGCACTGCCTTTGGCCCCTCCCCCCAGGCCTTCCCTGCTCCTGATTCAGGTGTTTATCTTACTTCATTGTTTATTTACTTATTTGAAGAAGGGGATCCCTGGAGTTCCCAGAAGCCTTGGAAATTCCAGTGATGCCTCAGGAGTGTGAGTAGCTAGCTATGAGGGAGCTGTCAGTCAGAGACTTCCTCAGGTGTGTGAGTAGCTCCTGGTGAGGGAGCTGTCAGAGAGTTCCTGGCATTTCCAGGGATGTTCTCTAAAACATCCAAAATATCCATTGCACTGTAAATTGAATGGTTGACCCAGGAGGAATGGATTATTCTAACTAAGAGACTTTGGAAGGCAAAGAAGGTACCTCGTACTCACTGATCCAAGCAGAGGGTGTTTTCTGTCCCTTGGCTCCCATCCTGGGATCTCATGACGGGGAACGATGACAGGAGACTGAACTTCAGCCTTTCTTGAACAGATGGAACAACATGATTCCAGGAGCACACACCGGCATGAGATTTCCATCCCTTCCCATTCCTGGTCCTTGGACATGTTGTTACGCAAATTGAAGGCCATAGAGCTCAAGAGGGATGACAAGCTGGCCAGTGTTCTGGATGCTGTGGGGGAGTTCGGCACATTCCAGTGGAGGCTGGTGGCCCTCACTTTGATCCCCTATGGGCTGCTGTCCTTCTTCATGTTCTCAGATAGCTTCGTTCTCACCGCCCAGAAACCCTACTGTAACACCAGCTGGATCCTGAAAGTGGGTCCCAACCTCTCAGTGGCTGAGCAGATGAACCTGACCCTGCCCCGAGCACCTGATGGCAGTTTCCAGACCTGCCTCATGTATATACCAGTGTTGTGGGATCTCGATTCCATCATCCATTTTGGCCTCAATTATACAGAAACATGCAGATATGGATGGATCTACCCTTATGCTGAGAAGCGCTCCCTGATCAATGAGGTATGCTTTTGTCTGGTGTTGTGTTGACTATGGCTACCCAGAAAAGGAGACAGACACAGGGGGCAATTGGCCTGAGCACATTCTGTGGGATAACCAGAAAAGAAACCTGGGGTTCTTATTTCCCAGCCCTGTGCCCTCCCTGTCTTAGGCAGGAAGCTAGAGTGCATTTTGGTGTAACGACGGGCTTGCCACCTGTCCAGAGAATTGCTTATCATGTCGTGGCTCTTGTCTTCTGGTCAAGGGGAGACCCTTAGATGGGGGTCCTTAGATGGGGCATAGGTAGCTGTGTGTAGGGTGTGTTCCTCTGTTACCCCTGTTGGTATTCTCTCCAACATCTGGCAGATCTTGGATCTAAGCCTGGGTTGAGGCCGTAGAGGCACAGGGCAAGGGTTTCGGGACAGGAGGCAACCAAGCAGAATGCACAGAAGCTACAGATAGAAAAGAAAAAACTTGTGTTGGGCATTTCTCACAGGACTTTATACCCTGAGTTGAAATCCCGGTCTTTTTAGTCCATGGGAAGCTCTAAGTTGGAGCCCAGGACCAATATTCGTGCCTGTGCTTAATACGTCCCCAGCAATGTCCTTTCTGGCCCAATGTCTTCGCTTCCTCTCTCCTGGTTTAGATCCAGGATCTACCAGGTGCTGGACAGACTGAGTCCAGGGATAACAGGGTAAAGACACTTTACATAGAACTACCTCTCCCTTTCCCTGAGTGTCAGTCATCTGCTCGAGGCAGCGGTTGTCAGCCTATGGGTTGCAACATCTTTGGAGGTCAAACAACCCTTTATAGGGGTCTCATTTCAGATATACTGCAAATCAGTTATTTACACCATGACTAATAACAGTAGCAAAATCAGTAATGAAGTGGCAACAAAATTATTTTATGGTTGGGGTCACCACAGCATGAGGAACTGTATTAAAGGGGCACAGTCTTAGAAAAGTTGAGAATCACTGACCTAAGGGTTCCCCTTGGGGTCAATCTCAGTCTCTTTTTCCCGAAGGGCTAGGTCTGTGTGGAGGCTTGAACAATGCCCTTGTCTCACCTGCAGTTTGACCTGGTATGTGGCAATGAACCAAACAAAGAGAACATGCTGACTGTGTTTCTGGCGGGCTTCTTGACAGGGTCTCTCTTCTTCGGGTTCTTATGTGACAAGTAAGTGTCCTGGGGTTCCCACTGATCCCTAGGATACCCTGCCTCTTTCTCAGGAGATGGCATAACCCACAAACTCTGAATGAATCTCAAACTGGGGAAAGCAAATGGAGGGATGCTCCAAAGCCCTAGGTAACCCAAAGCCTGGCCCAGGTGCAAAACCGAGGCTGGCCGAAAAGTATGACCCTTGGTGGCATCTCCTCCTCACACCCACAGGATAGGCCGCTATCCCGTCTTCCTGATGTCACTGGCAGGCTTCCTCTTCTTCGGCTTCGGAACAGCCTTTGTGAAAAGTTTTAACCAGTATCTGTTCTTCCGCTTCACTACAGCCCAGGCATCTCAGGGCTACGGCATCAGCAGTTCGTCTTTAGGTGACTGACTCACATGGGGCAAGGTGGGATGGAGATAGGTTCAGTTCAAGAGGGAGCAGGAGGCAGATCTACCTGGGATGGACAGGCTAAACCTAGTGGGAAAGAAGAAGAGACTCCCCTCTGGCTGTCCAGGGGTGTGAGGGAGTCAGAAGGGAGTGCCCCCAAGCCTCATCCCCCACAGTATTCTTCTGTACCCCAAATGTTCCCCCTCCTGCCATTGTGTACCCTGCACCTCGAGAATCAAGGGAGCTGCTAAGCCCTCTATTGCTTTGCTTCTTTCATCCTGAGCCTCACAGTGTTAGCCAACTTGTTCAGGGCCACACAGCAGGAAGGAGCTGTGGCTTCTACCCCAGGAGCTGTGTCATGCTAACACCTGAATGCATACACAGCCATACCTAGACTCAAACGTATTCTGTCATTTTCCTGGGGCTCTCTGACTCTTCTTCTCATGGAGAATCTGTTGGCACACAGCCAAAGGGAACTAACCCTCTACAGAGCCTCAGGCCAAGGAGGTCAAAGCAGCAAAGCACTCCAAGACGGGTGGTTCCTGGTCTCAGCCCACGTCAGACCCTGTGAGAGGTCCTGAACAAGTTAGGCAGAAGTTTTAGAGGGACTGGTTGGGAGCAGAAGAAATGGAAGGGCGAGTGTGGGTCTGAGGAGGTTCATCAAGACTTGGGGTGTGCGGTGGGAGATGCAGACAGTCTATCTCTGAGAAAGATCTGGAACAGGCAGAAGACACTGTCTACTCTGAATTCATGTCAAGGGAAGAGTGGGCATGCCAGCCAGCTGCATGGATGGCCAACCTGGGGACTGCAAACTGACCACAGTTTTGTTCTCATGTGCTCTGCAGTCATGGAGTGGCTGGTGGGCGAGCACCGGGCCCATGCGATCATCCTGCAGCACTGCTTCCTTGGATTAGGGATCATTCTCCTGTCAGAAGTTGCCACCAAGACTTTCCACTGGAGGCTCGTGTTCTTGCTGGCTGGCGCACCCTTGTTTCCCATCATCTCCAATATCTGGTGAGCAGAACAGTAGAGCGCATACAAGGGGGGTGATTCTCATAGGTGGTAGTAAAGGGGGGCACGGAAGTGGGTGGGAGATGCATGGCCTGAGAAGGAGCCAAAGCTGTTCACCACCCTCAGAGAAGAACCTGAGAGGTAGTCAGATAGTGGGAGTGACAGAGGTCCAAAGACAGGCAAGGGTCAAGGTTAAAGCGGTGAGACCGAAAGCTTGGGATGGCCATAGTCACCTTCTTTCAGTTGACTTCACTGGAGGAGAGCCGAAGCATGACCCATGAGTTGAAATTGAGTAAATGGTGTCTCCCAAGAAATGACCCTTCAGGGGAAAAGGGAAAGAGGTTCTTGTGGTCAGCTGAGGCATGGTCAAGCTGTTTGTGGTTTTTAGATGTGGGGACCACAGACAGCCATCTAAGGTGGGGCTGTGATGGTACCGCTCATGTAACAGAGTGTGGGAAAACAAGGAGGGGAGGGGGGGACAGCAATGTGCTGGCTGTCTGAAGAGAGGGGAGTCAAGTCTGAGAAGGAACTATGAGACAAGAAATGAACAACTCTAATGCGTAGATGGAAGTTTCCATCCCACCTGGTCCCTCAGCCATTCAGTTCCAAAGAAACACACAGAGGCTTATATAAATTATAAACTGTTTGGCCTGTTAGCTCAGGTTTATTACTAGCTAGCTTTTACAACTTAAATTAAGCTATAATTCTTGTCTATGTTTTGCCACATGGTTTGGTACCTTTTCTTAGTACAACATTCTCATCTTGCTTCCTCTGCATCTGGCTGGTGACTGTCTCTCTGCCGTTCCTCTTCCCAGAATTCTCCTAGTCTGGTTGCCTCGCCTATACTTCTTGTGTGGATATAGGCCAATCAGCAGGCCAAACAGCATTTTATTCAACCAATACAAGTGACAAATCTTTACAGTGTGCAAGAGCATTATCCCACAGCTCTTATAGGCACCAGGAGAGGGTAGAGGTAAGGTACATAGGAAATGGGTAAGGCATTTGGACCTGGGATGTGACCCCAGCCTGCCTGGCTTCAGAGCCTCTGACTATACCTGCCACACCATACACAGGATAAGTATGAGAAAGGAGGCAATGGGTCACTACAGGGGACAAGTAAGTGGCTTGGGACCTTTCCAGTCCTGCACAAATTAGGGACCAACCTTGACAGTCCTCCAGATATCAGTAAGTGTGGGTGGTAGCTAGTGCCAGGTAGCATGTGTTTCTCATGTATTTGGGACAGCTTGATCTTAAGGGTCAAAAGATGTACTCTTAAGGATTCTTTTAAAATGTTATTAATACAGTGTTGTAAGGAGAGGCTGCTTGTTTGTCCCTGCCACCCGGCTAGCTTACACCCAAAATAACCACCCAGAAACTGTATCAATTAAAATACTGTAAGAACTCTCTAACAATATGCTTAAGCTATTGGCCAAACAGCATTGCAAATAATATAATTTCTGAGTGATTATTTCATGGTCCAGGCAGCCTCCCAGGAATGAACGAGTGGCTTCTGTCAACAGGTTGGTTCTTGAGAAGTGACACCTAATGTTGGCTTCTGGCTTCCACATGAATGCACACATACACATTCATTGCCACACACATAAACACATATACACCCACTACATACAACCTCCATACAAGGGTTACTAATATAATAGGTAAATATTATTAAAAACTAAATGCCAGTAAGTTTGGGATGACAAGTTCCTAGTTTCTCCTCTCTCTTTCTGTCGCCTCCAGATCCTTTTTCAGAATTCCATCCTGAGGTCTTTTAGCCTTTCTCCTGGCTGCTGTGCTTGCTCAGAGCTGATGTTGTCTTCAGTGGGCTGAATTCTCTGGGGCATAATTTTCTTCAGCCCCTGCCTTCAGACATGTTCTTTTAGCTAATCATTCCTCAATACCGGACATGTGTTGGCAAGGTTCCATCTCTTTCCAGCCACTGTTCCTTAGAATAGTAAATGTCACTTTGATAACTAAGAATAAGGATGTACCTCAGTAGTAGAGAGCTTGCCTAGCATATAGAGGACCCTCAGGCTTCATTACTGCCCTGAAAATAACAGCAACTGGACCCCATCCCCAGTGTCAGACCAGAAGCTGGACCCCACCCCCAGTGTCTGACCAGAAGCTGGACCCCACCCCCAGTGTCTGAGTAGCAACTGGATCCCACCGCCAGAGTCCAGTCAGTCCAAGGGCCCCACCCCCAGTGTCAGACTGACAGCTGAACCTTACTCCTACTGTCTGTAACAGCAGGCCTCAGTGGAGTCTATTAATCTACACGCCTAATGTTTCCAACAGTGATTCTAACTCACAGGCTACACTGTGGGACCCACTCTGTTAGATGGTTTTCCTCCAAGGATTCCCTAAGCCAAGTCAGGACTGATTCTAGCTGTTACACTCTCCAACAATTCTGGAGGCTGGAACACTTGCCTTTTAAAAAATAGTTTTATTACCGGGGAATGGTGGCACACACATTTAATCTCAGCACCTAGGAGGCAGAGGCAGGTGGATCTCTGTGAGTTCAAAGCCAGCCTGGTCTATAAGAGCTAGTTGCAGGACAGCTAGGACTGTTACACAGAGAAACCCTTGTAACAAGAAGGGGCCCTTCTTGTTGGGGTTTCTGTCCCGCCTGATACCCCATAGCTGGCAAGCCCCAAAGAAAATCACACAGAGATCTCCAGAAGGTATAAAACTGAATGGCCCATTAGCTCAGGCTTCTATTTAGCTCTTATGACTTATATTAACCCATTGTGATAAACTATTTTAGCCATATGGCTCGGTACATTTTTCAGCTGACAGGACACATCCTGCTTCCTCGGTGGTGCATAGGACTGGGAGGAATCATCTTCCTCCTTCACAGAATTCTCCTGTTCTCATTGCATCACTGTAGAAGGAGCTGCAGGCTGCATTCCTGCCATCCGGCTCCCGGCCGCCTGGCTAGCTTATGCCCTGCAATAATTACACACAAACTGCATTCATATAAACACTGCTTGGCCCATTAACTCTAGCCCTTACTGGCTAATTCTGAAATCCCGATCAACCAATCTCTAATAAACTGTGTAGCACCGGTCTTACTGGGAAAGATTGAGCATGTCTGACCTGGCGGCTTGCTTCATCGTGTCTGCCCCAGAGAGGGGAAGCATAGAGTTCTAAGCTTACTTCCTCTTCGTCCCAGCATTCTGTTCTGTTTACTCCACCCACCTAGGTTCTAACCTATCAGGGCCAAGCAGTTTCTTTATTAATTAACCAATGACCTTCCTCCATCAGACATTTTATCATAGAAATGAGAAAAGTAATGAATGTTGCTGCCTTTGGGGCAAAGGTCCTGAGATTGAATCATGCTGTGTGATCTAACTGCCTTTATAACCTTTGGATGAGTCTTGTAACTTTCTAAGCTTCCTGAGGCGTATCCTCCTCCTCCTCTTCCTCCAGAAGAGAGTGTTTCAATTTGGAAGACATGACTGCAACAATAAGGATATATTAATTACAATTCACGTTCCTATGATGGAGTCCCTGCCAAAAGCAACATAAGGAATGAAGGAAGGTTTATTTTTGATTGACAGTTACAGGGTACAGTTCATCATGGCAGGAGCTAAGGTAGTTGGCACATTGTATTCAAGTCAGTAGGTAGAGGCAGAGAGGAGAGTGGAAGAGGGAGGAAGGAGAGAAGCTGATCTTCAGCTCACTCTCTCTTTTTTAATCAGTCTGGGAACCTGGCCATGGGATGCTGCTCCCATTTAGGGTGGCTATCACCAGCTCAACTAACCTAGAAATTCCTTTACAGACATGCCCAGAGGCATATCTCCTAGGTGACTGTGTGTTGACTGGTGTTTCTGTCCCACCCCAAAGAAATACACCGAAGTCTACATTAATTATAAAACTGATTGGCATGGAGGTTCAGACTTATTAGCTCTTATAACTTATATTAGCCCATTATTCTTGTCTATGCTAGCCACATTGCTTGGTACCTTATTCAGCAAGGCAGTCACATCTTACTTGTTCAGTGACTGGGTCATGACTGCAGAATCTGCTTCCTTCTTCCCAGAATTCTCCTGTTTTCATTGACCCAGCTCTACTTCCTATCTGGTTGTTCTGCCTATACTTCCTGCCTGGTTACTGGCCAATCAGCACTTTATTAATATACACTTGACAGGTTACAAACCATTGTCCCACAGCACCCCCCCCCACTCTTTTAGGGAACAAGAACTCTGAATCTAATATCCTTTGTTTAACTTTTCTCCTGACCATTATCCATAACAACTTGTAACCAACATTCTAAACAAAGGAAAATATACATAGTTCATTTTGGGGGGAATGTGGGCATAGTTTTCCAAGCTACTTCCTGCTGGTTGGGGCCTCTGATAATCGTATGGGGACCTAAAGAAAATTGAGAAATATCATCAAGTCATGACTGGAGTATCCTGTGAGGCTTGATCATCTCAGGCAGCAGCAGTCTTGAATCTGTTCTGGATATAGAACTCTGACATCTGGGCCATCTGTTCTTACCAGGGATTTCTTAGATGGTCTTCCTTGATCAAACCTGATTTTTCTTAACTCAGAATGAATCCACAGGCTCTCATTTCCTGTGGAAACAAAAGCAAATCCTCTTCTCCAAAGTAACATCTTTAGACTTCAGTTTTGATGTCAAGGTGTTGTCAAAATTCCAAGCCAGCATTTCCCTCTTGTCTACTTTTCCTGCCAAATCATAGTCATTGTCTGCCCTTTGCAGCTTCTCTGTTTGCTGTGGACAGGTTCCCTTTGGGCAGTCAGCTTAGCTTCAGTTGCCTGTCCTGTGACCCACAGCAGCAGCCTCTGCAGTGTTCTGACAGCTCTGCTCTATACCGCCACTGTCAGGGATCACAACCTATTTTCTAGTCTGCTAGCCTTGTGGGAGGCATCCCTGTGTGCATGTGGTAAACCATATTCATCAAGGAAGGAATACCGGCACATACCACCACATGGAGCAAGATGGCCAGCTCAAGATTTCTTCCATGGAAGTTCTACTCTGAGTCATCTTTGCTGCTTTCTGTAAATAAAACAAAAATCATTGTATCTAAGCGTGTGCACATATCTGCAGAAAACAGAGGTGTCAGTTCCCATGGGGCCGGATTTACAGGTGATTGTGAGCCACCTGACTTGGGTACAGAAGCGGTATGTACTCTTAGCCTCTGAATCATTTCTAGACCCCGCGACTGTTTTGTTGTCATTATCTGTCTGTTTTTCCTTTTATTGAAAATTTATTTTTTCTCACATCTAATATCTGGTTGCTTTTTCTCAATTGAGTCTTACTTTGTAGTCTTGGCTAGCATACTACTCTTACATAGTCCAGGCTGACCCCAAGTTTGCAACGTTCCTCCATCTCAGTCTCCCAAATGCTGGGTGTGTAGGTATATGCCACCATGTCCATCTCCCTACATTTTACTGCCAGGTCCCTGTTGTGCAAGCACCACTTAGTGTGTACTTTTCCTAGAGAGGTATAAAAGACACATTTATTCATCCCTAGTAATGAAAAGTCCAGCAGACAGAAGAAAGGTTTATCAAGTCCAGTTTGGCAAGCGCATAAGCTTACTGACATCCGTGCATGCACACAGGCAGCCACAGGCAGCCGTATCACCAAGTATCCCACCCCTCAGCCGGGTTTTTACCTTCTGAGCTACAGCTGCTACACAGCAGTGGGTAGAAGGGAGTGGATACTGGACCATTCAGCTGCCTCTCCACCATCTTCAGAGTGAGCTGGTGTCGTTAGCCCTTTTCATCTTGTTGCCTCAACCCTGGGCTGCGGAATGCTTGCTGTAGGTCACTCTAGCCATTCTGCTTCATGGTGGCGGTGGTCATGTCAAGCCTGACATGGATTAGCTACACTATAGTTTGCAGAGAGCGGGCATGGAGGATGATGCTCAGGCATGACCTTGAACTTGGAAAGCAGAACTGGGAGGTGATTGGGGTAGTTAAAGAGACCACAGGGTAAAGGGATCAAGAGACTGACTATTATCACTGAGCAGTGGGGTTTGTGGAGGGTTGAAAGAAGAGTTGGCTTCCACCAAGGAGCAGAAGGCATCTTGAGGTTGGTGGTACCTAAAGGTTCCTTGGTCACATGCTGATACAGATGGCCACAGCTGAGGCATCTCAGCTGGAGTTGGGGCATCCTGGAATTGTGAAGTAAGAGAGAGGTGGTCACACAGGGTTGTCCGGGAATCCCCACGGTGGCTGATGGTCAAAGGGAAGGTGGACGAGGCCAAAAAGGTTCTGTGTTACGCAGCTGAGGTGAACAAGAAGACCATCCCTTTAAATCTACTGAATGAGGTAAGAAGCCTTGGGCCAGGAGTGAGGCCAGGGCTGCAGACTGTGGGAAGGCCTCTTTCCTCATCCTCTCATGGGATCTTAGTCTACTGCTTCAGAATGATGGCAACACAACTGAGCCCTGCCTGCCAGGCCAGAGAGTGGCCAGCACTGGGGGACGGGCAGGCCTTGCCTGGTGTTTGTGGGCAGAGAGCAAGCTGGTGTCCTGTCTCCATTGGCTGGTCTTGTTGTCTTGTAGCTGCAGCCGCCGGCAAAGAAGGTGAAGAAGGTCTCGATCCTGGACTTCCACACCAATCAGTACCATTTCAAGGTGGTCTTGACCATGGCCTGTGTGTGGTGAGTTGCTGGGGCTGGCTTCAAACTCAGGAACGGCATGGAGGTTGGTCAGGCCGCAGGCCAGGCCTGTCTCTGTCATTCCTACCACACGTGTCTTCTCTCTGCCTCCGTTCCATGCCTCCTACACTCAATCCTTCCCTCCTCTCTTCCTCTTCCCCTTTCTCTTCCTTCCCCTTCTTTCTCCTTTCTCTCCTCTCTCTCTCTTACTGTTCCTCCCACCTCTCTATCCTTCTCCTCCTTTCTCTCTCCCTTGCATTTTTTGTTGTTCTGTTCCAGGTTTTCCATCAGTTACAGCTTTTTCACACTGAACCTCAAGTTGAAGGATTGTGGGATAGAGACCTACCTCATTCAAATAATCCCAGGCATTCTGGGGGTGTCGGCCCGGCTGTATTGCATCGTTCTACTGGAGAATTTGGGGAGAAAGTGTACCCTCTTCCTGAACCTCATTCTGGCTACCATCTCGTGTTTCTTCCTCCTTTTCCTTACTCAAGGTACAACCTGCCAGGAAGGCAGCCCCCAGTCTGCTCTCTTCTGGGGCTTCCTAGTGTCTCTTATCTTGGCAGGCTTGAAAGCACACCGTAGGTGGCTTCCTGCATGTATCATTCTTCCCACCCCTCAAGGAAGCCTCAGCCCCCAAGATAGCATTATCCACATTCAGAGTCCTGAGAGAGGAACTCAGGCTATCCCCAAAGTAGTTATCCTTGTATGTGAGGGCAGGCAGTCTCTGGGACTCCATTCCAGTCCACACCGGAAGCAGATCTAGTAGGTAAATGAGAGTAGATGGTGGCAGAGTCTTCTTTGAACTCATGATCCAGGCCGTGCCTCTCATATGCAGCCTTTGATTGGCAAGCATTCCCGGCTACCTATGCTGTCTAAGATAATCTATTCATGGAACATCGGGATGGTGGCATACTGGACCTGTGCCAATGTTCTTGCTCAGAGGGCTTTCCCAGGGGCTCGTTGCCTGGCTCCTGGTGTCTGGTATTATTTCCACCAACTCTAAGATCCCTGGGCAGTGAACCCGGGTCAGTCTGTGGGGCCAGAGTGCATAGAGCTATGGTGCCCCACCAATGGCCAAGGCCTAGTGGGGGGCTGCAATGCATGCTTCCCTAATGAGCCCCTTTCTTTCTCTCAGTGAAACTCTCGGCATCCTCCTGACATTATCAGATATTGATTAGCTACAAAAAAATGAAACTTTCTTAGGTTTCCATAGCATGGTGTTTATTGGTTACATTATTGCTGCTGTTACACAGAGCACTGAATCTAGCTGGCAGATTTACAGATCTCATGTGTGGGCAAGAAACTAGGCATAGGATTCTGGAGATAGAAGTCTGAGGGTTGGAGGCATGGCTCTCTTTTTAAAGCACTTGCTGCAGAGACATAAAGAGTTGACTTTGGTTACCCTGCACTCAGGACAGTACGTGTCATAGTCCGGCTGTTGGGGAGAAAGAAACAGGAAAGTCTGGGGTTTGCTGCCCAGCTAATCTCACAGAATCAGCAAGTTCCAGGTTCAGGGAGAAACTCTACCTCCCCCAAATAGGGTTTGGCCTGCCCCAAGCCCTGTTCAACTCTCCCATGGTAGTAACTTCAGGAATGACTGGGCCTCTGCAGATCAACTCTTCCTCTGGCTGAATGTCTGAGTCTCCTGGCTAGGTGACTAAGTGGTAGGGGTGGGCCATTCAGTGGCCTTTAGTAAGGGACTGAGAGAAGGCTGGAAGGCTCCAAATGTAGGGTGGCCCATGACTCCGAGCTGTGCTGTCTTTACCCAGAGCTGAAGTCGATGGTAATCTTGATGCTTGTGCTTGGACACTTTAACATGGCAGCCAGTATCACTGTGTTCTTCATCTACACCTGTGAGCTCCTACCCACTGCTCTCAGGTATGGAGTGTGGTGGGCTGAGGGGAAGGAGGGGGATGGGACAGTGCCAAGACTGAGCATTTGCCAGAAAACATTCTCTGTGTTAAACACGGTGTGCATGGGTTGGCTCACCTACCTCTTGTAAGAAAACAAAACCCAAATGCTGTCCATCATCGACCTTCTTCCATTTACAAAGCCAAAGCCAGGAAAGACCCCTGTTGTCCATCATGCACAGCGGGTAGCAGAGCTGGCATTTATAAGGGATGATGTCTTAGTTTCTTTATATGTCACTGTGATCCAATAACTGTGGCAAAAGTAACTTACAGAGAGGGGAGTGTATCCTGGCTCTCGGTTCAAGGAAACAGATCATTTATGGTGGGGCAGGCAAGGCAGAAGGGGCTCGAAGCACCTGACTCCATGACAGCACAGTCAGGAAGTAGCCATGCTTGCAGGCATGCCCTGCCGCTGCTTGCTCCCTTTCCCCACTTGCATAGTCCAGGATCCCTGCCAAGGGAATGGTGCCACCCATAGTAGGGAAGGCTTCCCAGCCCAGGTAACCTGATCCCCTGCAGTCATGCTCGGAGGTCAGTCTCCCAGGTGATTCTAGATTCTGTCTGATTGACAAGGAATAATGACCATATCGTGGGGTCTGACTGTAGACCCTGCCTGGTACCTGGTCCCCAGTTCTTTCTATTGCTGTGGTAGATGCTGAGACCAAAAGCATCTGTGGGAGGGAGGTTTTGCTTCACCTCACAGCACACCTTCATGGGGAATTCAGGAGAGGATCTTGCGGACAATACTAAATCTGAAGCCATGGTGGAATGTGGCTTCCGTGCTCGTTCCTTGCTCACAGTGAGCTGGTCCAACCTTCATCAAATCATCAGTCAACGAAATGCCCCCAGACTTACCCATAGATCAATCTGATGGGGGCATTTTCTCAGCTGAGGCTCTCTCTTCCCAAATGACTCTAACCATGCCAAGTTGACAAAACTAACCAGCCCATATCAGATGCCTGTAATGAGTTTGGGTTACCCTGAGGTTCTGCCTCTTCTCCCATGGAGTTCCTGGTGATAGAAGCCCCATCTTACTGACCTCAGGGCTGTATCCTTTCCTCACGTGATTATACACCATTATAATGTGTACATGATTAAAAACTCTTTGACTCTGGATATCCAAGAAGGCAGCCCAGGAGAAATAGCTACCCCTTTTAAGTCAATAAAGAACTAGGCTCTTCCAGGTCATACACTGGGATGGAACGGGGTAAAGAGCAGAGGGTATGACTTTAGGTAGCTTCTCCCTTTCACTGTACCCAGCCTCTGAGCCTCAGAAGTCTTCTAAACCAGTTCTCAACTCTGCTTTCAGGTCTACAGGTCTGGGAATGGTGGCTCTAGCCTTCTCAGCTGGAGCCGTCACAGCTCTGGCTATCTTCCACAATATCAAAACACAGCTGCCTGTCTTCTTCTGCTGTCTCTCTTGTGTTTTGGCCTTGTGTTTCTCCTCCTTCATGCCAGAAAGAGGAAACCAGCCTTTCCGTGATAGCATGGAGTACAGTTCAAGGTAGATGAGTAGGGTCTGCTTGTCATAGTGCTGGGAATTGAGAGTATGCCAGATATTGTCCATCCCAATGACAGATCACCCTGTTCAAAGCCGTCTCCCCAGGTCTTCTGGATATGATCACTGGACTGGTCCAGCTTAGGTCCTGCCAGTTCTCCCCCTCTGTTTGGCTTTCCTTGCCCATAGTGCCTCCCTTTACCCTGCCCCATATGCCTGTCTAGACTGGGGTATTATCCTTGGAGACGAGAGAACTAAGGTGACAAATTCTTTCAGTGTTAGGACCTTTTCTCCTGAAGGGTGTTTGAGAAGATTAAACCCACATTGTAAAAGATCCAGCACGTGGCAGGTATTCAGTGAAAGCTGGTGACAGAGACGCTGAGCAAAGCTCCAAAATTCCGGGAAAGAAAGGGATCTAGTGGGGTCGGGAGATGGAGTCAGCCCGATCCTGAAATCCAAGACCAGGCTTAGCTGGGGACCTAGATGAATGAGAAAGCCCATCCCTCCCTGAAGAGGTTAGGATTGAAAATGTCTCGTGTTTTTTCTCAGCATCCACAGAGAGTCTATTGACTCCAAGAGGAAAAGCCAGGACGTCACTGCAATGATGCTATCTGAGGAGTCCATGTCTGACATCTGGGTTGACGATGTGGCAAAGAATACCATTCTCAACACCCTGCCACTAAAATCAGAAGCAAGCGGGTTCTCCAACACCGACTTGAAGGAACCCAGCAACGGGGAGGAACCCAGTCCAGATCCCTGAGGGCCAGGTTCCCCAGAACATTGTGGACTGGAGTTTACTGCCAGGGTTGAGGGACATGGATTCAAAGTCTCAAATTCTAGGCCTAGTCTGGCTTGTGGGGAGAATCTGTCCTTCTCGAAGGCCAGGCCTCAGGAGCTAAAAATAGCCCCTTGTATAGGGGGAGTTAAATTGTGATTTATCCAATAAAATATCATGTTGTTCTTGAGATGGTTAGGTCAAAGTTGTCACGACAACCCAGAGGATGCAGCCCAAACAGGTATGGGGTGGTGGTTAGATAGGCAACCAAGGCTTTTCAGGATCTTTGGCTAAATCCTCAGGGACAGCAAATTATTCTCTGGATGGAGTGGCTGTAGTGTGGGCAATCTCTCTGTGGTTCAGAGCAAGAACAAGGGTATCGATTATAACCTCTAGCCCAGCTAGCAGCTCAATGCCAGGCCGAGGACGGAACCGATCAAGGTCTGGACAGAATGTGAGGGATTACCAAGAATGTCCCTCATAGCTTAGGCCAGTCTCACTTCTTCCCCCTTGGTATTCCAAATAAGTATGGCATGAAAGGTCACCCACCACGAGCTTTATCCTGAGAGATGTCCTCTAAGAGCTTCAGGGAAGCTGACCTCTGACCTCTACCACCCCAAGAAAAAAGTCCTTGGGACATTTTGTGCTAATTGTCAACTTGACACAATCTAGAATCAGCTGGGGATCATGTCTACAGGAGAGGATCTCGATCAGGTGAGTTGCCATGGGAACTCTGCCTGCTGTATGTGGTACCCATTCCTTGAGATGGGTACTAAACTGCATGGAAAAAGGTTAGCGGAGAAGCAGCCAGTGTGTATTTATCCCTTTCTGCTTCTTGATTGTTGCTGTAATATCTGCAAGGTCACCACCCTGATAAACTGTGACCTCAAACTCTAAAACTCTGAGCTCAAATAAACCCTGTGTCCCTTGAGCTTCTTCTGTCATGACATTTCATCCCAGCAAAGGAAAAGCGACCCTCCTAGTCAGTCAGCTTGACACAGCCTAGAGTTGTCTGAGACGAGGTGGAATTATTATAAGAGCCAGAGGGTACAGATGTCTCCAAGGAATCCACGCCTTTCAGGCACAATAGGAGAGATGCTCACGTGAGCTCAGACTGTAGAGCAAGCCCGAGACTTGCATAGGGGCAGAAGGGGAAGGACACAAGCTTCCTCCCCTAACCAATTAGCTCTCTAAGGAAGACACTAGCTGCAGTAGATTTCCTGCTGGCAAAGGGGACATGGCTTTTCTCTAATGGATTGTCACTGGGTCCTGTGTCTATCAACTGCACCTCAGGGCAGGTCCCGTGCCCAGGAGCAGCTGGCCAGCACAAGTGAACTGGGTAGGAGTTTTGTTGGGTTTTTGTTTCAGTATTCTGTGTTCTTACATTTTCTTTTTCTTATTAGTCTTTTACTTGCTGTTATTTTTGTTTTGTGGGTATTTATTTATTTATTATTTAGTATGTATACAACATTCTGCCTCGATGTATGCCCTCACACCAGAGGAGGGCGCCAGATCTCATTACAGATGGTTGTGAGCCACCATGTGGTTGCTGGGAATTGAACTCAGGACCTCTGGAAGAGCAGCCAGTGCTCTCAACCACTGAGCAATCTCTCCAGCCCCTCTTTTTTTTTTTTTTTTTATGTGTATGTGTTCCTTGCTTTTCATTCTTGGGATTTTTTTGCTTTGCTTTTGGAAGAGAAAAAGAGCATAAAACAGAGGAGGTAGTGAAGTGGGAAGGATTTGCGAGGAACTGAGGAACAAAACACGATCAAGATACGTCATAAAATTTTTTTCCATTTAAAAAATTTCATTAAAAATGTTCAAAGTTTG